AGCTAGACTACCTAGAATCATGGTTATTGGCATGGTCTACCTCAAAACATAATAACATAAAATTATGCAAAACTTTGCACTGACAATTGGTGGAAAAATGATAGCGTTTAATGTTGGATCAACATGTTTGTTCCAGGTCTGCTATCCCCGTAATTACACCAGTGCATCGTGGGAAATGTAATTTGAATTACCATTATTTTTTAACTATGCATACCATACAGATGTTAGTGGATATGTTAATTATATGTATCAATATTTCTGAGATGAAAGACCAGATTGTCACTGACAATTTTAGCTGAATATGGTAGAAAATCAAATTTTGACATACCTTAAAAACAAATAACATCAAATATCTCAAAGCACATTAGTGATATATCACCATGGAAACAAATGAGGAAATATACAATGCACTATTTCACAATTAGTCACTGAATTTTATGAATTCTCTCCCAAATCCCATGAAGAATAAATAAAGTTCAACAAAGTTAATGAATTTCCACCGACCAATTACCAATCTCTTATTTCAATAATACCCACAATTCCCAGGAGGTGAGATAATCAGTATTTGAGTTGAGGAGAAATATAGTAATTTTCAATTGATTTGACAATTCAATTTAGATTATTACTGCAGGGTTTATTTGAAGGAAAATTTTGCTTGTCAAGGATACATTATGAGTACTTTCTATTATGCGAGTTATTTTTGCATAAAATAATGATACTGTGAAATCTCTATACAAATTAATTTGTTTAAGTAATTGGTCCAGTTGAAAACAGAATTCTTCAAAAAAATTATACATAAATTTATATTTATTTACTTATTTGTATAGTTATCTTTATTTAAGAAAATATAAACTAGTAAAAAAGTAAAAAAAAAATCAATGCCAAAAACATTATGCATATTTTTAAATAAAAAAATATATCAGAAGAGTGAAATGAAGGACAAAGAGACCTGCCTTACTTCAAAATAGCCTAAGTTTGCGTTTACACATACACCCACTATTGGATGCATGGTGCTTGTATACAACAGTATTTGTTCTCCATAAAGGTTGCAAATGACCAAAATATATTAGCTAGCAAATATTTTGGAATCAAAATGAGTCCAGACAAATGTTTTTAATTCAGACTAACCTGAAACAATGTTTTTTTTGTTTTTTTTTATGTTTTTTTTTTCTTTAATATCGTCAATTTCTTCTTTTTTTCCTTTAATTCTAACATTTGATCCAAGTTACCAAGTTTAATTTGTTATAATGCCACATTTGATTTGTAATTTATGCAGCTTCTATTAATTTATTTAAATAGTGAGCTCCTTATTCAAAAGTGTTGAAACAAATAAATAAATGAGTCAGGGACCCATATTTTGCTTCCCTGACTCCAATTATTGATGAGGAATCCAGTTTTTCAGGCAAGCTGGGGTCCAATCTCTAATAAGGTTATCCAGAATAAAATTTCTATTTCTTAAAATTTGTAAGTTGGACTCATCTTGCCGAGACACGAGCACAAACCCTGATGAGTGTTTTTGTGATGATATTGGTCACGTTTAATTGGCAGCTGTAAGGATGGAACACTGACAGAAATATACACTACCAAAAAATGCAAATTCATATTGCATTATGGGAGCCTAGGGTATTATCAATTGTAAAAAAGTAGTCAAATTTGAATTAGTTTGGCTTGTGCATTGGTTTGTAACCTAGCCTGTGATTGGTGCATGACAAATTCCAAACAGGCCATGCTGCCAACCGTACCAGTAAAACCAGACATATCGTTCAGATTCATAAATGGAGTCAATATGTTTAGTTTTTACACAGTCCCTAGAGGATTTATTCTATGCTGCTTTTTTCCAGTTTAAAAAATGTGTACATGCATGAGCACAGCAATACAAGCCAATCGTACAGTTGGTTATAGTTCAGGTGATATCACATATCTTAGCTGCAAACCTTTATTCTTACCACAATATAAACCCTGGCCCCTCCTTCCTTGGTGTATGGGGGCAACAACAACTAGAGTTGCTAAATATACTTGTGATACACCCCTTGGAATAACACATAATATTGTGTCACCTTGTTATCCATACCCTATTATTTCCAGGTTTTTATCCCCAGGTGGGAAATTTCAAAAGAAAATTCCCGACCCCTTCAGCCCGGCATTTGTGAACATCGCTATTCCACGATAAGCCGTACCCCACAAACCTGTGGAGGTGAAGGGTGTCGCGGTTTCTATCGAATCCCGCTTTATTTTTTATGTGCTGATTAAGAATCTCGGTAAATTAACATCAAGACCACAAGTTGCCGTAGCAACAACGAACTCATATGTTATTATCGGTCGTATTATAGATCGGTAAATTCATTGTTCGATGAGATCGGTAATTTTGATGCTGGGGACAGGTCAGGGCGGTTTTCCGCGCACCGGGGATCTGGTCGTGATTTAGTAGGAATGGTCACGGTTGTCTCACAGGAATTAGCAATGGCATTCACTTCGAATTTGAATAAAATTTGGCACAGTGGATTTTGACTGCAAATAACAATGGAGCGGTCGCATACGTGATCGCGAAGTCGAAACTTAATATTATTGGACTTACCTGAGATAAAATGTACTAGATGGATACAGTGGACGACCTGCTCACAGAAGTGTCTCTCGATCGTATATACCGTTAGGATCACCGGCGGTGTTTAGCTTAATGAATACACACTATACGAACACACTCATTCTTACCACACCCAGCCCGGCACACATGAAATAAATCGAAGGCCAACGCGGTTCAACTGATGGGCTGCAATCTTATGCACGAAAATTTGTCAAAAGCGAGAGTGGCCGTGAATGTTGGCACGTACCATTATTTAATGGGGGAGGCAGTGCTAACGGCGTTCGGGGCATTCGATCTATTGAAACAGGTGGGAAAACACTATCACTTTTTTGCACATTTGTATTTTGTTTTAAAATCGGTGTTAGATAATTATTGATTTAGACCGAGTCATCAACTTTTGGTTTTCATCCAGTATGATTTTTTTTGGAGAAAAACTGTCTGAAAACTACATGATTTTTTTCATCAGATGTATCCAAATAAAATTTCCATGGAAGTTTGACACATTTTTGTTTTATGAAAATTACAACCGAAATTAGTTCGATGACCATATTTTTCTAGTGGGATTTTGGCAACAGCTACGTAAAGTAAGCCATAAAGGAAGCCATAGAAATCTGATGGTTAGTTCTAATGTTAGTCAACTACCTTCAGTTGGGCATATGACCATGTGTGTCCGGTTGTCCATTATCTAGTGGGCGCACATCGCTTTCATTGTCGCAACGAAAAAACGAAATATCTCGACGGTGATGGCGCAATACAACAAAACAAATCACTCTCGTTTGCATCGTCTGCTTGCCCCCTGGTTTGCACCATGTTGTTCCGTTCGGACTTTCCTCCCTCTGATAGTGGAGTGCTTCGCCGGAATATTCACCTTGAAATTTCAAGATGTCTCGTTTACGGCGCACATTGTTGCCACAAATGTTTATACTACACATGTTGTTCGTTACCAACTAATATTACGGAATTTGAACCAAGACAGCAGTGTGCAAGACTGGTGTGACATCATGACAAATCACAGTCTTTCTGCAGTGGCGGTTCT